ACAACCATAATCGATTACGTAGTAGTTAACGCTTTATCTGACGCGTAAGATTTAAGGAGGCAGCCCCGCGTGGGTCCTTGGGAGGGAAGTTGGGGAGGGGGAGGGGTATTTGAGCGGAGAAAAGAGTTCATTTGTGTTCTACAGGTGGTGAATAAATCACACTTTCTTATAGCCCTCCCCACAATAAAGAAAAAAAAGAAGAGAAGAAAGTGTATATATATGTGTATGTATATGTGTGTGTGTGTATATATATATATATATATATATATATATATATATATATATATATATATATATGTGTGTGTGTGTGTGTGTGTGTGTATGTATAAGTATGTGTGTGTGTATGTGTGTGTGTGTGTATGTACATACAAATATGCATATATACATACATATTTATATATGTGTACACACACACACACACACACACACACATATATGGGTAACAAAATATCTTTAATATAAGTTTATTTTGGAGGATGATTACATGTAATAAATATACAGCCTATTTCTTTTAAGTGATATATATAACGAACTAAGAATATATTCACATTATCCTAAATATTACATAGAATGAGCTCCTTCACCACCTCCGCCAATCCTATTACGGGATAAGTTAGTCAAAGATTTATTTTTCCCCAACCTAAGAAGAAGAGTTTTAAATTAAGATCATTGTTTTTGTAGAGGGCAATTATGCAAAAATAGAAAATCAATTCCGTAATTTCGTGCTAAATTTACTGGTAGTTTTGCATGCTTTCCTCATATGAAGAGGAAAATAAGAACGTTTCTTTCCTCACCGACTAATGTGCACCCGCAAATAACTCACAGAGCATCTTGGGTGAAGCAAGCCTGGCAACAAACTACTCGAAAACGCAGCAATCACTTGGTGAAACTTTGAATTTATCCCCCTCCCCCACGCGGTCTTCTTATATATCTTTATCAGTTGTGTTGTTGCTGGTATACGTTATCCTGCGGTGATCACAGATAAGTGTCACGCACTCTCACTAGGCATGAAGTATTATGCACATATGTTAATACGTCGTCTGTTAACATATGCTAGAGTTAACCTTTTTTTTCACTTCAATATGTTGTTTTGAATGTCAGTCTTTTATCTCTTGTCCTTCTTCATCATGGTATCTTTGGCCTTTATCCCCTTCTTTTCCCTTTTCTTTTTTATCACGATTATTATTCTTCATTTATAATCTATAAATAACTTTCACATGTTCATGCCATTTCAGTCTTGTTTTATTCTCTTCCATGTTTCTGCCACCGACTAAGCACCTGATAATCTCTAATACAAAGGTGTTTAACAGCAACAATACTGGTAATAGCATTTAAATTTTTGGATTCTGATTTCTCATTTCATTCGCATTTCAGTCTTTATATGCAATACTCTGGTAATTTTTCAGTCATTCATGCTGCCTGCCATGGAAATATATATCTCATTCTTAGTTTCTCCTGTCACATCTCCTATTGACCAAAGATACTTTAAATCATCTGTTCACATATTTCTATCCATCTTTCAGTGTCCAAACATAAAAGGCAGACCTCTGGCCAGGTCAACCATAACCTCAATTATGCCAACCACAATCGTCAATTTCCCATTCAGATTGTAACAGGATCGTAAACATCTCTTCCCCATGAAGATAGATTTCATAAAGCGTGTCCCTTTCCAATGGTACGTCTTTAAGTTTTTCCTAATGAGAAATATTATAATTAGGCGAATCATTAATGTGAAGACGTAGATTTATCTATCTTTTATTATATATATATATTTTTTCATAGACATGGACGGTACATAAAACTACAAGAATATATCATGTGAAAATATTGTACAAGCACGTATTGAGAGAATTAATATTATGGGAGAAACCAAGATCTTTAGTAAAAAACAATAATAATAATAACTTGTTAGACCAGTGGTTCATAACCTTTTAACTACCACGCCCCCTCTAGGAATTTGTCCTTCCCTCCACGCTTCTTTTGCAGATTTTTAAGAAAATTATATATATTTTAGTTTTTTTATGAGTTTGGATTAGTAGCATTATAATTAAACTTTCCACTATGTGACCATGCTCTCGTTAAGAGAATAACAAAGATAATTATAATTTTTTTCCAAGGGCTCGCACCCCCTTCGTAAAATACTGAAGCCCCCCAGGTTAAGATCGGTTAGAGCATAGTATATGAGAAAATATATGTTTGGGTTATATATATCATAAAAACTTACTTTGAGTATCTATAATACCTTTTATTCTCAAGGAGTAAGTGACTATTTAGTCATCTAAGAGTATTCTGTTCTGTTACTCACATTTTTAATATCTTTAGCGAGCGAAATATCAAATACAAAGCACCAACATCAAAGGACTCCTATAATACTGATTTGCCGGCGAAGTAATAATGAAAGAATGCAGTAATATGCAGGAACCATGTCAAGAATACTATTACAGTGCATCTCCTGTGAAGCAGCCCTGACAACAACCTTGAAACACAACTAAGAAATGCTGACTCTCACAATCTGTCAGTCTACCAGACAACCCGAGCGAAGCCACGAGAGACCATTTTTGCACCCGTTTTATAATGCATATCACGTTTTCTCCGGGAATCTGTAACTTTTCTCATGCGAGGGACAAATTCAGTATGTCGACTGGGCAGTCACATGGGATACCTGCCTTGTAAACAAACAATGTCATCTCGTGGAAAGACCATCTCGTGGAAAAACGAATTGACGAGTGGAAATTACCCAAGACTGTTTAAATTAGTATAAAAAGAATATGAATATTTATGTGTAAAACTGTGTAATCTTTAAAATAAATCTATCAGTGTCTCATTGTTGGGTGTTACTTTCCCAGCATATAAAATCACAATAAACGAATTCCATGCCTTCACTTCACGACAGATACCGTAATTATCTCTATAATGGAAAAGCGAAATAGGTACGTCTTATAATATGTTTACTACAATTCCCCATGTATACTTATTGTTAATAAGAAATACTGGCAACCTGTCCGTGATATTTATACTCTGCAATCGTGCACAAGACCGTTCTGTGGTGACCTTGCAGCATCTATTTTTTGCCGTTACACCGACAATTATAGTGGGAAGTTGCAGTTGCTTTTGGTTAAAAATGACGCCTTTACTAATTCAAAATACAATATATAAAAATATATAAAATATAATGAACAAAGAAGCAAATGGTACAGTGTAACTTACCACTATCCCCCCCCCCCGAAGCATCATTACTGATGTGATAACAAAGTCTCTAATATATAAAGATACCGTTAAAAAAAGCCCTTATTGGCTCCTATTGTGTATGGTATTAGAGGGGTGATAAACCCGATAACAATGATAATGCTTTGCCACATGCTGAGATCAGATACACTTGAGTTACCAGCGACCGTTTTCAATTCTGTACTATATTTTTATCAATTCTTTTAATTAATCACGAAGGGAATGGACATTTACCAATTAAGAGTTGAACTAAAACAATTCAATTTTAAAAAATGCTCGTTAATGGTGTTTCGACTTTAATTTTTCATTTGCATTAGACTTACATGTTAAGGCCAGCTGATGGGAAGGCATGAGTGATAATATAGAGTGTGTATTAGGGAAGATCTATTTTAATTTTCCATTACATTTGATTATTATAGTTTATCGTTCTTTGTCGATTTATCTCTATCACTAATTAGGAGTGGATGCATCTCTCTCTTATATATCTTATTTATTAATTTATGACGATTTGTTTTAAACCATCCAGCATACATTATTCATATTACGTTAGCTTATTCATTTACGATAATGATATTGACAATAATGATTATAAAAAAAAGTAGGATGACTGGGCTGGAAAGTTCCTTTTGTTTGTCCAAATGTTTATAAACTGATTACTGAAATTACAAAGAAATAACATACAAGAAAACTTACAAGTTAATTAATTACACTTACATCAAAGGATAAACATATAATTACATAAAAATATTATGCATGTTCATAACTGATAAATACATAACATTTAATATAAAGAATTTTAGTATTACAACAATATCAAATCACTTGGTAATTATTTCAACTCACCGAAAATTATGATTTCCGAACCCTCCTACTGGTCTTATACTCACTAAATGGCCAGCGAACCTAATGTTCACTGCCTGAACAATGAGAAGCCTTATACTTCTACAATGAAACGTAACATTCGACAAAATGAGTCTTATACTCATTTATAAACAGCAAGCCTTACGCTCTCAGTTCCGAACGCCTTCCTTCGTGGAGCCTGTCGCCGCGTCTGCCCTCCACGTCTCGTGTCCACGTCTCCCCTCGGGTGAATACGAGTTTAAAATATTTTCCCTGAAATGATATTAATTGTGACTAAAAATGACATTAAATGAATGTATAATGTGTTATTATTATTAATCTATCTTTGTTCGGTGAATTACAGTTACAAATACTGAGACAAATAAATAGTTAATGTGAAATGATTTCAGTTGTATTCCATAAAAACCCTTTTAGAATATAAGATAATAATTATTAACTTTCTTTTATGAAAATTTTTATTAATTGCGCTTTGTACTCTGTTGATGTAATCAAACACAGGTTGATTTGCTTAAAAAAAAAATGCGCTCTGACTCCCTTCTGTGACCATGAACTCTTATAGAAAATGGGATGTTGTGATTTGAAGGGATAACTCGAGTAGTTCTCGTAAACTCTCTGGAGCATTGTCTTTCCGTAAATAAACCGATATATAGCATATATCTGATCATCACAATCATCATTATTATTATCACCAACGTCATCATAACTTTTACCAATAAATCTATGAGTAATTGACTTAGAAGTAGTTATAGCAGTAGTAATAGTAGCAGCAGTGGTAATATCGTTATTGTTATTGGTTTTGCTATTGCTGTTATTATAATAATTTTTATTATTATTATAATTATATTATTATTGTTATTATTATTATCATTATTATTATTATTATTATTATTATCATTATCATAATCATCCTCCTC